GGTCTGATGATTCTTTATTTCTCTCCCTTCTTATTCCTCCTCCTCCCTTCTTCATATGTTGGGTGTTTTGTTCTGTGCTCTTTTTTGGAGTGCTCCCATCTAGAGCAGTCCCTGTAAGATGCCCTGTAGAGGTGGTTTGTGGGAGGCAAATTCCCTCAACTTTTGCTTGTCTGGGAATTGTTTAATCCCTCCTTCATATTTAAATGATAATCGTGCTGGATACAGTATTCTTGGTTCAAGGCCCTTCTCTTTCATTGCAATAAGTATATCATGCCATTCTCTTCTGGCCTGTAAGGTTTCTGTTGAGAAGTTTGATGATGGCCTTATTTCTGGACTTTTAATTCTGTTTTGCTGATGTAGTTTTGTGACCTTACTGTTTTGATTATTATAGCTTTGTAATATAGTTTGAAATCAGAGAAGCCATAGTTTTAATTATAGTGACTATGTATCCTTTCTCCCACCCCCGATGTTTGATAGTGTCTGAATGATAATTTCTGATCCTTTGTTGTAAGACATTGTATGGTAGATACTGTGCTGTGAATATTTCATTTGGATGGCCACTCTGTTGTAAATTATCTGTGAAAATCATAAATTTGAAGGTGAATTTATAAATCAATAGAAACACCTCATTTGGCAACCTGGCTTGAAATTGAAGTGACTTATTTAATGTTATATAGTAAGTTGGTGGTGAATGTTGGTGTATTGATTTTCATTTAAAGTTTTTGATCCTGTGCTTTCTGTTATTTCTAAAATTATATTATATTATTTTTTGTAAATAGTGGATATTAAATATGAACTTTTTGTTTCCCACTGTTTTCAGAAAACACCATAGATGAGTTATACAAGGGTAAAGATCTAAAAGTAGGCTTCGTTCATCTAAATTCCTTTTTTCCTTTATGTTCCTTTTTTTTGCCTGTACAGTTCTTAATGGAGCAAGACAGAAGAGAATAGGTGGGAACAACTTCAAGAAACATTCATTAGGTGTCATGATAAGTCCTTTTAACTAGGTTCTTCCCATTTGAATTTCAGAATGAATTGAATCTCATCATTTAATTCTGCCTTAATGTGCCTAGGTATGCAGGTGCCTTGAGAGCTTCAGGGGAAATGGCTTCTGCACAGTATATTACTGCAGGTCAGTATCTTAAATATTGACTTTTGAGAGGGAGTATAGTGTTATTTTATTAATGTTATTAAGAAATGTGTTTTTCACTCACAATTTGTTTAGTACTTTCTGTTTAAAAAATGTGCTTTATAAAACATTACCTCATTAAAAGTGGAGTACTTTAAGCAAAACTTGGGATTTATTATCCAAATTGTAATCCAGTGATGTCTATCCTTTTTGAAAAACAATCTTTGAAATTTTTGGATTAAATTATAATTTTCACTTTGGTTTGTATTAATAAGTATATCTTGGGGATATCCAGAGGTAGGATTTATTATAATTGATGTGATCATTATAAAAGAGAGGGTTAATGGGTTTTAGTATAAGGAAGTGGTGTATATGAGGTATGAGGAGAAACAAATTCTTAAAGGATAGAAATAACTACCTCTTCATTTTGTGAGACCATGTCCCCTATTCCATTTTGGGACAGTTTTACAAATGAGTACTCTCTAAAGTCATCACATCAGGCTAGGTTGATAAAGTTTTACAGCCATGTTTTTGTTTGGTTTTTAGTAACAGTTCTATTTGAATTATAATTCATATATCATACATTTTTGTACAGTTGATTGTTTATTAGTATATTTAGTTCATCACAAGTTGTATGATCATCACAACAATCAATTTTAGAATATTTTCATCACTCCAAAAAGAAGCTCCGTAACATTTAGTCATTACCCTGTTGTTCCCTCACTAGTTTCTAGCCCTGTGCAACCATTAATCTGTCAATCTCTGTAGATTTCCCAATTCTGGACTTCTGATAGAAATGAAATTACACAATGTATGGTCTTTTATGATTAGCTTATTTCACTTAGAATGTTTTCAAGCCTCACCCACATTGTAGCATGTATTGGTGTTCATTCATTTTCTTGCTGAATATATCACATTTCATTTTTCCTTTCATCGTTGATAGATACTTGGGTGGTTTCCATTTTTTGACTATAAATACTACTAAATGTGTACAAATCTTTGTGTGAACATGTGTTAATTTAATTTCTCTTAGGTATATATATATGATTTTCATATATATGTTTTAAATTTTTATTTCAAAATAAATTTACAGATAAGTTGCAGAAACTTACCAATTATTTTTGTCATACCTTGTTTATCATTTTTTACCATGCATGTTCTTTTTTTCTGAACCATTTAAAAATAAGTTGCAGATGTCATGTCTTTTATTCTTGAATACTTCATTATGTATTTTATAAGAATAAGGACATTCATAAACACAAGGCAATTAGCATTTTTCAAAATCTGGAAGTTTAACACTGATGTAGTACTGTAAAATATAGACTTCATTTAAATTTTGCCTGTTGACCCAATACTGCCTGTTACAAAGTTGTTTTTCTTTTGTGCTTCAGGAGCCAATTTGGGATCACACATTGTATTTATTGATGGCATATCTCATTAGTCTCTTAATGTGTAGTGTATATTTGACTTTTTTCTTTTAGACTTAATGAAATACTTTTAGATGCTCTGTCATGGTGTATATTAAACCTTTTTTTTGAGCAGCATGTACTTTAAAGTGTTACTACAATTAGGCTTTTTTATTTTAAAAATAAATTGATTGCTAGTGATACCTAATTTCAGCCTTCCCTCCAAAAATATCTTTAAATATTGTGTTTAGTTATTTTATTCAGAAACATTTTATTGAGCACTTTGTGCTGAGATGTGTTTGCTGGGCTGTAGTCTGTATAATAGTAACATTTCAGATCTTAGTTAACAAAACAATACAAGTCAAGATAAGCTAGATGACAAGCTTGTCTTAAGTAAAGGGAAGGGCAAGGTGTCATAGCCTGGAAGTCAGCAGAGAAAAAGTATTCTGAACTCCAGGAGTCGGTCTGAATCCATGATCATGGGATTTACAATGGTGAGAGGGAACAGGCAGAGGAAAAATTCCAAAGAAAGCACTGTTTGGTTCTTAGCTGTTCAGAAAAGTAAGGAAGTATGTTTAAGGAGCCAGATTTCAACAGTCAGGAGTTCCATAGATGGCAAGCAAGTATGAACTTAAAGGGAGGAGAAGTGGGTTGGGAGTGGTGACCTGATGGCCTTTTCATGGAAGTGGCAGAACAGTAACATCATGCCTGTTTGATCCCTAGACAGAGGTTATGTGTTCTCTGTATTGAATGAATATACCCTGCTTTGTTTTGGAAAACAAACGCTGGCAGGGGAGAGACAAGAGGGGTAGGGCTCAGAAGTTGTTTATAGCTAGTGATTGCATTATAAAGCCTTCTCGTGGATTCTTTTAAGATTCAAAAACGATTTTTAAAAAAAATTAGGAATCTTAACAATTGCAAAAAGAATAGATACATTAAAAATATTACACAATTTTTTGTATTGAGAATTTACAGTAGCATGTATCAATATGTCACTGTTTTACTAAGGCACTGTTTTCTTTGTTTTTAAGCCCTTAGGGATTTGTTTGATTCCATGGATAAAACTTCTTCTAGTATTCCACCTATTATTCTACTGCAATTTTTGCACATGGCTTTTCCACAGTTTGCAGAGAAGGGTGAACAAGGACAGTATCTTCAACAGGTAATCAGGACAATGTTCTATGGCTTTCATTTTTATTGGAGTGTATTTGGAAATGCAGTATCAGTCCTTTCTAGTTCACAGCACCATTGCCTCTTTCCTAGAATGGTGCAATAGTCTGCCATCTGATCACCTTGCTTCTGCCTTTGTCCCTCTGTAGTGTTTCACCAACACAGCCCCTAGATTCCTTTTTAAAATGTAAAGAAAGATTATGTTGATCCCTTGTTCAGTATCTCCTGGTGATTTCCTATCCCAGTCCTAAGTAACCTAGCTCCTGGCAACCTCTCTAGCTCATCATATGTCACTCTCCCTTTGCTTCTCTTCTCTCCAGATATACTGGCTTCTTTGCTATTTTTTAAATCCTCCAACTCTCCTGTTTCTGAGGGCCTTGGCCTTGTTCCTTGGTTCTTAGCTAAGTGTGTGGCTTGCTTCCTCACCTCTTTCATGTCTCACAGTTCAAATGTCAAGGCATCAGAGACTTTCCTTGGCTATCGAAATAGCACACTTCTGTTTTCCTAATCACTTTTGGCTCCTGTATCACATTTTTTTCCCTTATAACTCTTCTCCTTATTTGAATTTATGTTACATTTGTGTATGTACCCCATTAGGACTTCTATTTTGTTCATGTTTTGTATTCCTAGTGTCTAAAGCAGTGGTTAGCATAACTAGGAGCTCTTGAATGAAGGAATAAACTATTCTAAATTCTTCATTCTTTTGAAGATCATATAATATTTAATTTGGCTTATATAAACAAAAAAGAACAGCTTTCTTACCCTTCCCTAAGGAAGCAGTAATTGCTTTGAAAGGATTTTATAGACCAAACACTGTCACATTCAGAATTATTTTGTCATTTTTTGAAAATTATAGGATGCCAATGAATGTTGGATACAAATGATGCGAGTATTGCAACAGAAATTGGAAGCCATAGAAGATGATTCTGTTAAAGAGGTAATTGAAATATATTTGTGATTATAGACTTTCATTATACCTGATACCCCACCCCCACCAAAGGCTTGAAACAAATTCATCTTCTTTAGATAGATGTGTGTTTGACTACTTTAGGTGCTTATCTGTAGTTAGAATTTGAAAGTTTGCATTTTATGTTTGAATTCAATGTATTATTTATTAAACTTAATTGATATTCTCCAGCACCTGTAGTCTTTTGGTAATGTGTTTTGAATAGTAGAAGGATTTTATAGAGCGGGATTACATCTTAAAAAGCTTAAGTATGTATTACTAAACTAGATTGTGTGGGAGGAAATACACGTTATAAAGTAAAATTGATATTTTTTATTTCATTTGAATTTTTGCAGACAGATTCTTCATCTGCATCAGCAGTGACACCTTCTAAAAAGAAAAGTTTAATTGATCAGTTCTTTGGAGTTGAGTTTGAAACTACGTATCCTTTAAGCCAAGATTTGTATAGACTGTCTCATAACTTACCAGAATTGAATTAGTGTAAATAGTGTTGTTGACCGATTGCAGTACTGGATGGGGTATGAAGCAAAATTCTTCAGAGGTTTTTATGCCCAAAATAATAAAAGAAATTAGGAATTTGGAAAAATACACCCATTGGAGTAATCTTAAAGTTTAGATAAATGTACACCTTAAAGGATATTCATTGTACTTAATTTTATTTAAAGATGCCTAAAGCTATCTTTACCAGAGTCAATCTCATGACTCACTTTGTAGAAATTAATTTTTAATTGTATAAGTGTAGTGTATCAATTAAATAATATACATGAGATTGAACCAATTCATAAAACGTGAATTTAGGAAAGTAATGTTTTCTGGGTCATGTGTGGAAACTTAGGAAAGATTTCTGTTTATGTATCTTTGGACTGTTAAGACCATTTTAAGACCATATAAATACCAACTTGTATTTGTTTCGAGTTTATACTTTCACAATATTCATTACTCAGTATTGTTGGTAAGTGAATGAACATTTTAAGTATGTTGAAATGAAGCTCTTTTGGGAGATCAAAATGTTTTAAACCTATCAATGATGCTATTAATTTTAATATCATTAGGATAATTTATTATATTAAAGATTATACAGCAAATTGAACACCTATTGGCATATTCCTTATCTTATTTTGCAAAGCATGAAATGTACAGAATCTGAAGAAGAAGAAGTCACCAAAGGAAAGGAAAATCAGCTTCAGCTTAGCTGTTTTATCAATCAGGAAGTCAAGTATCTTTTCACAGGACTTAAGTTGGTAAGGACAGTTAGAGTGATCATCACAACTTGTGGAGTGTGTATTTGTAAATGTACCCATTTATTAAATGTCTCTAACCCTAACATCAGTACTCCTGGTGCCCCTGGGGTCATGTATAGACATGCTCAGAGGTGAGAATCTTGAGCTACCTGACACACACTGTCCCATTTGAGGTCCAAGAAGGTGAAGCTCTGCTTTCTTGTTTCAACTCTTATACTATAAAAAAGTGTCCTTGTGCAGTAATTTTAGTGCCACATTTTTGACATTTTTGTGCCTTTTGTTTGTGATTTTGCTGTTTAAAATGTCCTTCAGACATAATGCTAAAAAGTATGGTCTAGTGTTCTAAAGTGCAAGAAAGCTGTGATATGCCTTAAAGGAGAAAATACTATTAATTAGATAAGCTTCATTCAGGGATGACTTATAGTGTAGCTGGCTGTGAGCTTAGTGTTAATGAATCAACATATGTTAAGTAAGGTGTTATTAAACACACACACACATAAACCCAGGTTTTATATTGATAGGTTGACAAGAAAGTTGGGGCCAGAGACTCACAGGAAGCCTCTGAGGAAGTTATATTAAGGGTATGTTAATAATTTTGAGGTATAAACTGGGATTGTACTTTGCCAATTAGGCTATATAGTCATTGCACTAATATTGCAGTTGAGACCCTAAAATTCAAGTGACTTAATTGGTGTGACTTGTTCTTCAATTAGTACACTTTCTCCAGTGCCATACTAAAGAATACACTCTAATGAGCAGATTGATACAATGTAATGGTTCTGCTTCCTAACTTGTTAATTTGATATGGTTTGGGGAATATGTACATCTTTTGAAGGATACACAGTGACTTGGGTCAGGGATTACATTGATAAACAAGATCATTTGTCATCAGGTGATCCCATGTACAGTTTGGGGTAAGATTGGTTAGTGGAAGGATTGGTAAATACAGACATAAGAAGCAGATAGGTAATACTGATATTCTTCACCCTTTGAACCACCAAGAGTCCTGTAATTATATTAAATATTATACAGCAAATTGAACACCTATTGGCATATTCTTTATCTTATTTTTGCAAAGCATGAAATGTACAGAATCTGAAGAAGAAGTCACCAAAGGAAAGGAAAATCAGCTTCAGCTTAGCTGTTTTATCAATCAGGAAGTCAAGTATCTTTTCACAGTACTTAAGTTGGTAAGGACAATTAGAGTCATTATCACAACTTGTGGTTTCAGGTCATCACGTGTAGGTTTCAGGGCACCAAAACATGCAAGATAAATGTTAATTGAAGAATGTGGAATGGAATGTTTTGGCAGGGACTCTCCAAGATGATATTTTCTTAATAATTTTATAAAATTTCAGGAAAACTAAATATACTTGGAACTTCTGGGTAATGGTGGATTAGTGATAATATGTAAAGGTTACCTGATGAATAACATCATATCAAGTATGCTTTCTTGAAAAACATGTTTATGAGATGTTGTATTTATTGTGTTGCTAATCTTTTAGGTGTTTCATCATTATTTATTTTGCTTATTCTTGAGTAATTTGGCTCCACATTTCTAAAGAATACTTTGTTGCCAAATAAATTTGATTAAATGTTAAAAACCTCCTAAGATGCTTATTGCAAACATTAACAGGAAATTGTCTCAACTCTAATTTCATGTATGTTTATATTCTTAAAGCAGAGCACATTAGTAATCTAATTGTTTTGATATTAGAAATAGTAGCTAATGTTTATTGAACACAGAATATATGCCAAGTAGTTTTCCAAGTTTTCTACATGTTCTAACTCACAAAATTCCTTAACAGTACTATAGTATGGGTACTCTTATCACCATTTACAGGTGGTGCCCAGTGGGGTTAAGTTCTTGTGAAGTCACACAGGCAGTAAGCAGAGGAAAGGCAGACATGGTTAAGATGTATGGTGCCTAAAGGCCTTTCTACCTTCATTAGATAAAGAGAGGTTTTCTGTATGATGTTTCTCAAATTTAACAATTCATTGGTTTTGGAAGGTGTTCATGCATTAAGCATAAAGAATAAGGGTCTTCTACATTCTTCTAATTTTCCTCTAATATGAATATTCTGATAATCCATAAGTAGAGGAATGCCATAAAAGGCTTTGTTATGTTATATATAAAATACATATAAACTCTCAGAAGCTGAGCAACACTTGGGTCATAATTTAAAAAATTGAAACATTACATTCCAGGGAGTTCACACGAGAATAAGTTATTTGATGCCTTATAAGAACTGTACCTAAAAGCCTTCCCACATTATCTTCAAGTTATTTTTCAGTGGTATAAATCTAGTGATGTACTTTACATTGTCTTTTAAGTAGTACTAACTTAAAATAATTAAAGGTGTGATTTCATAGTGCAGAAAAACTACTTTAAAACTAATGTTTGATGGTCTATTCTTTTTTAGCGACTGCAGGAAGAAATCACCAAACAGTCCCCAACATTGCAAAGAAATGCTTTGTACATCAAATCTGTAAGTTGTGTATTCCTTTCAGGTGCAATTCTATTTTGTTGAATGATTTCCAGTTAATTAATGTTACCCGGTCTTTGTTTTTACCAAACCAAGGAATTAAAAACTTATATGGTATTTGTATGCAAGTAATGTGATTTCTTTCCATTTTCTCTCAGTCCAAGATCAGCCGGCTACCTGCTTACTTAACTATTCAGATGGTTCGATTTTTTTATAAAGAGAAGGAGTCTGTGAATGCTAAAGTTCTTAAGGTTAGTAATGAACTTTGTTTAACAGAATATTATAGTTCTTTGAAGGCAACCTCTAATTTACAATAGATTTCTTTATTCCTTTAGGGATAAACTTTCTTTGAGATACTATAAATAGGGAAGTTATACATTAGACAAGTGGTTCCTAACCAAGAATGTGTACTGCAGTTGTGTGTTGTCCTCTTTAAGTCATACATATGCCTGGCTTCTCTCCCTACAACCCTGCATCTGTTAAATGGGATCTGAGGTCTTACATTTTTTCAAAAGATTCTTAGATAATTCTGATGGCTGCCCTCCATTCCCCAGAAACATTGTCCTAGATCAGATCCTCAATTCCAGGTACCAATCCACTAGGTTTGGGGGTGGGCATGGATTAGAAGACAGTCTACCCCATTGCACAATTTTCTAGGCAGTTGCTTTCTTCCTGGTGAAAGCAGAGAATGTTAAATTACTGGTGCCAAAGGAGTACTTTAATTATAATCTCTTGACGTAGGAGGCAGCCTTATGATTTAACTGTTCTGTTGAATTGTATCCATAGAGTCTTTGATCCTTGGGAGAGGTATATGTTACTACAGTCTATTGAACTAACAATTCATAATACATTTTCAGATATTTTTAGTGTTACATAAGAAGGTTAAATGTAGTTGAAGTATTTATTATTGTTAACTTTAAATAAATATTAATAGTAGTTACTGAATGATATTACTATTTCTATGCAAAATTGTATTTCAAATTCTAAGAAGTCGTAACTGACCCCATTGGTAAAATTTTAGGTATCCATGATTTTCATAGCAACTGGTCTAATATTTGTGTGAAATGCTTCTTTAGTCGCCTAAATTTTAGTAACTCCTCTGTGGTCAGTTTCATGGGTTAAAATGTTTAATAGAAAGAAGAGTTTAAAAACTTCACCTTAAAAAAGTTAGGACCAAACCGAAAATAGGCACAATGATGTTTTCAACTGCATAGATTTCCAAGTGATTTTTACAGATACTATTTTCCATTTTTTTTGAATTATGAAAGTATTATTTAAAAGGTACTATTTAAAATACCTATTTAATAAGTGTTTATACATTTCATTTTGGTTTGTATATAGGATGTTAAATTTCCTCTTATGTTGGATGTGTACGAACTATGTACCCCAGAGCTTCAGGAGAAAATGGTCTCTTTTCGATCAAAATTCAAGGATCTAGAAGATAAAAAAGTGAATCAACAGCCAGAGACAGTAGGTTCTTATTGCTGATTTTCTAATCATAATATTTTAACCTTCAATTAGGGATTCAGCAGTTACTTTGTATTTTTAAACTATTGGTAAAAATGGATGAACGTGTATTTTACCATAAACAGTTGATCTTGAACTGCACAAATTCCACTTCGCAGATTTTTTTCAGTAAATACATCAGAAAATTTTTTGGAGATTTGTGACAGTTTTCAAAAACATTTTCTTTGGCTTCTTTATAGTAAGGATATAGTATACAATACATATAACATACAAATAATGTGTTAATTATTTATGTTACTGGTAAGACTTCTGGTCAACTAAGCTATTAGTAGTTAAATTTTGGGGGAGTCAAAAGTTACACATAGATTTTCAACTGCACAGGGTTTTGGTGTTTGTCACCTCCATGTTGTTCAATGGTCAGCTGTGTACAAGTCCTACATTACTGATGCAGGCTGTTAAAATTTCAGGTAAATGTTAACATAAGAAAAAGTAGTCTTGGTAAGTGGATCCTTTATGATTGAGTATGCTTAGTATTTTCTTTTTCCTTAAAGCCTGCAGCTTATATTCCTTTTATATTTTTCTTAAAGCAGTTCATATAAAATCTTGCCTACTATTTTCAGTGTGTTTTATTATTTTCCTTGTAAGGCATGGAATTATCTCCATTTTTAGATGGAATTGATGGTATAGAATATTGGTTCATTTATGCCTCCTGTGATAACTTACGTATTTTTTAGTGTCTGTGAATACAATCATGTGGTTTTTGTCCTTCTTTTTGCTGATGTGGTGGATGATGTTGATGGATATTCAAATGTTGTACGATCCTTGCATCCCTGGGATGAATCCCATTTGATCATGGTGTATGATACTCTTGATGTATTTTTGAATTTGGTTTGCTAATATTTGTTGAGTATTTTTGCTTCTCTGTTCATCAGAGATATTGGTCTGTAATTTTCTTTTTTGGTGGGGTCTTTGCCTGGTTTTGGTATTAGAGTGATGCTGGCTTCATACAATGAGTTTGGGAGTATTCCCTCCTCTTCTATTTTTTGGAAAACTTTAAGGAGAATGGGTAGTATGTGTTCTCTGTATGTCTGATAAAATTCCATGGTATATCCATCTGGCCGGGGGGTTTTACTCTTGGGTAGTTTTTTGATTTCCACTTCAATTTTGTTGCTGGTAATTGGTCTGTTTAGATTTTGTGTTTCTTCTATCGTCAGACTTGGAAGGTTGTATTTTTCTAGTAAGTTGTCCATTTTTTCTAGATTTTCCACCTTGTTAGCATATAAATTCTCGTAGTATTCTCTAGTAATGCTTTGTATTTCTGTGGGGTCCATCATGATTTTTTCTTTCTCGTTTCTGATTCTGTTGATGTGTGTAGATTCTCTTTTTCTCTTAATGAGTCTGGCTAGGGGCTTATCTATTTTGTTTATTTTCTCAAAGAACCAGCTCTTGGTTTCATTGATTTTTTTCTATTGTTTTATTTTCTCAATATTATTTATTTCTTCTCTGATCTTTATTATGTCCCTCCTTCTGCTGATGTTAGGCCTCATTTGTTTTTCTTTTTCCAATTTCAATAATTGTGACTTTAGACTGTTCATTTGGGATTGTTCTTCCTTCTTTAAAAAGGCCTTGATCTGTATATACTTTCCTCTTAGAACTGCCTTCGCTGCAACCCACAGAAGTTGGGGCTTTGTGCTGTTGTCATTTGTTTCCATATATTGCTTGATCTCTATTTTAATTTGGTCATTGATCCATTGATTATTTAGGAGCATGTTGTTAAGCCTCCATGTGTTTCTGAGCCTTTTTGTTTACTTTGTACAACTTTTTTTTTTTTGAGAGGGCATCTCTCATATTTATTGATCAAATGGTTGTTAACAACAATAAAATTCTGTATAGGGGGGTCAATGCTCAATGCACAATCATTAATCCATCTCAAGCCTAATTCTCATCAGTCTCCAATCTTCTGAAGCATAACGAACAAGTTCTTACATGGTGAACGAATTCTTACATAGTGAATAAATTCTTACATGGTGAACAGTACAAGGGCATTCATCACAGAAACTTTCGGTTTTGATCACGCATTATGAACTATAAACAATCAGGTCAAATATGAATATTCGTTTGATTTTT